AGCGATGGAAAGCTTGGTGGGTCATGGGCGCGGGGATCGATTCCGCGTGTGTCGCAGTGGCGCCTCCAGCCACTGCGCCACACGTGCCCAATAAGTAAGGTCATAATCGAGTCAAATGGGTGATAGTTTCTGTTATTAGTTTCTACCATTTGTCTATAATATATAACACAAATCCTTCATATAACATCGGATGTGTGTTACGTTAAAAATTGTAGTAAAACGCGAATTGTCCACCCACCTACAAGTAGGTGTAGCTTCGGTCTCATGGACTGTGCTGTTATTTCAGGTTTGCCAATTTTCCAAGCATGCTCCTGTGCTACACAGTGTTTTCCATCCTCGGAGTGGGAATTAACCGCGTAGCGTCTCAGATCTGTTCATTGTTATTACGTACGAGGCGGTGCTATGGGCGTCTACACCACGATTGGGACAGGCTTTGTGTGAATGGGACACCGTTTTTAAAACTGGAGCTTGTTTGCTTGTTGTTATGGAGTCAGACTTGTCCGATCAGGGCAGATTTTTTTTACTGCAGTGGAATTCCAATTAGAAATAAACCCTTTTCTCAGTTCTCTGGAGTGTTAGAGACGAGTTTACTCGAAGCCTACTACATTTCAAAGTGTTCTATTAGAGTTGTAAGGTTCGCAGAAAGCGGCAAACTTTTGTTTTAAAAGTCATCTTCCATACGGGAATCCTTGGCGTTCATATTTGCCGTGTAGCGTCTTATATTCTTATTTTTCTGTTTGCACCCGAATTTTAGCATGGTCGAGTTAGAAGCCGTTAGTACTCTTCAAGGTACACTAATTGAAGCCAAAATGATGAGGAGGCGATGGCATGCCTCATTCGGGACATCGTACTACAGTCCCAATAATAACAGTTTCTTTGCTGGATGGAATCTTAGTATACTCCTTGTTGGCAAAACTCTCTTTGTATGGCGAACAAACTCTTACGAAATTGTACAGAAAAGACTTTCATGGATCACTCGTGGCACAGCATCTGTTTTTGATAGGCTATTGGTAGAGTAAAAAAGCTTGGCAAGAAAAAAAGCACAGGAGAATGAACGGCTGGGAAGGGAATGGACTAAGATTAGTGCACACGTTCTACCTAGCCCACCAACATATTGATATCTCATTCATATCTCCAAGACCTGCAACCCGACTTTGTGAACACTTCAAATTCCAGCGACAAATTGCTTTACCAGTATCCTACACCTAAACAAAACCCATGTTCAAACGTCTGTGAAACGTCGAGTAATTACTGACATAAAAGACACTATAGTTTTTCTCATCGGGCCGAATATCGCCCTGCGAAAGTCAACTGAATGTGGCTAGTTTCTTCGTACATGCAGTTTGTTCATGCTAATTGCATTCACACCAGTTCTGCTTCCTATGCTGCTTCGGACGCTTGGGGTTGATACACAAGTCGACCACTGCCTTGCAGGCAATAGTTATGGCGAGCTTGGCGCTGCTTATTATAATGTGCTGTCCTGTAGTACGTACTTTCTGGCATGACCATAAAAAGGTCTGGTAGGTTTTCGTTATATTTTTTGCTCTACAAGTCTGGATTTTTGTTATGTATATGTGCATCCTTCCCAAGACCGACCTTCTGTTAACCTCGGCCCTCGGCATTGATTGATAACTCGATGTTTTTCTTCGATAAGCAGACACGGGGTTGTTATTATAGAATTTATTAGGATACAATAGCTGACGTTTCGGCGGCTTCGTCTTCTTCGGAGCCTGGAAAGGTCAAACTGAGATGCGATCTACTCAGCTAAACACTTTCATAACCCCAGCAGAGAAAACTTGACAAATGAATTTATATTCGCATAAGAAACAGCTTAATTTAAACACCTACCGTTTATTTGTTGTAAGTATTTAAGTTAGTTGATGGACAGCAGCCGTACATAGTAATACATGGGCGAGGACTGTACCTGTGCCAGGTCATTGGATTAGCCTGAGGTGTGGCGCCAGGTCACGCGTGATGACAAGACACTCCTCTTTGCGGTTCATTTTTGAATTTTTCGAATTCATCCAAAACGCTTCAAAAGTTTTACGCGCTGATGCCTTGGATTCCTGTGGGAGTATAGTGACTCCTACTTCAAAATCTTCTCCGTTGTGTTCCTGCATCCTATGCGCGCCTAGTGGAGTGTTTGGTTTTAATTTAGATTTACCGACTAGGGGTTCTTTTATGCGGACGCAGAGCGGTCTACCCGTTTCGCCAACATATTCGTCCCCGCACGCTTTACAAGAGATCAAATAGACTGTACACGAACTCATGCAATCACCGTTTCTACCGTTAGGGCAAATTATGCAGCTTTTCTTTGTACATTGACGGTCATATAGACCGTTGCGAACTAGCTGGCGTCTTAGAGTGTCCAGTGGTATTTCTATCACTCTTACGGAATTCTCTAGACCGGCCCATATTAAGTAACGTTTTATGGCTGCACTTATTTCGTTTGAAATAAAGGGCAACAGGAACGGAGCCTTGTTTTCGCTAGAACTATCGCTCCATGGCGTGCTTTTTCCTCTATGCCTATGCTGAGAAGCTACAGTTTCGTAACCACTTGAAATGGCTATTTGGTGCGCCAGTTTCGAGGATTCTTCCCTCTGCTCTCTACGTGTGCACACGATGGTGGCGGTTCGAAACATATTTCTTATAAGCGTCGTTTTAGTGTGTAAGGGGTGAGAGGTAATGAACCACTATATTCTTACTGCTTGGCTTTCGATACCATTTTGTGATGTAGCTGTCTTCAGAATCATCTATATATCTACAGTAGAGTAATGGCCTGAGATCGATTACTGGTGCTTCCACTTTGGACATAAAGGCAACGGCAAGGGTTGGTGCCAGTTGCTGCCCCATTGCCAACCCTCTAATTTGTGCGTAATATTTCCCGGACCATCTGAAGATCGAGCAGTTTAGGCAGACCTTTAAGAGGACCATAAGCTGCTGAATCGAAGAGCCATATATGTTAATTACTCTTTCATGTTGCTCAAGAAGCTCGCGGATGGCTTGCATTGCGGAGTCGTTCCGTAAACGGCGGTAACGTTGAACGACTCTATAACGTATGCGCTTTTTGGGACGTGCGTTACGCAGACGATCTAGGAACATTTGGGTGTTCGTAAGATGGGCCGGTATGTGCTATGGCCGGTATGAGGATTAGATTTATAAACCAAGCAATTTCATCCATAGGCCCGTCTACAGCACCATATCTCAGGCTGATCCAATAACCTGGCACAGGCACAGTCCTCGCCCATGTATTACTCTGTGCGGCGGCTATCCACCAACTAACTTAAATACTTACAAAAAATAAACGGTAGGTGTTTGAATGAAGCTGTTTCTTATGCGAATGCAAATTTATTTGTTAAGCTCTATCTGCTGGGGTTATGAAAGTGTGTGGCCGGGTAGATCGCATCTCAATTTAACTTTTCCAGGCTCTGAAGAAGGCGAAACCGCCGAACCGTCGGCTATTGTATCCTAATAAATTCTATAATGACAACCTTTTGTCTGTTTATTGAAAAGAACAACGAATTATGTGCGTCCTTGTTTATCATTGAAAGTGAGATGAAGAGGGCATAGTGTGGTGTCAGTGAAGGATGTGAAAGCTGAAAAAGTTCGCTTCGTTATTCTTTTGCTCTCTGTGCTGTGGAAGGCGTAAAAGTAAACTCTCACCTGTACAAGTCTCAAGTCACTAGGGTCATCAACAACGTCAGTTTTTGGTAATAGTAGTGCAAGAATGTAGCACTACTTTGCAATGTAGTTGGGGCTCAAAACCATTCCGGATATTTTTTGTCGAAATCCATGCTATTATTATTGCTTAATCCATTAGAAGACAAATCCACTCTATGGATCTTTTGCATAGTTATATTCGATATTTCTGAACAGTTTAGGTAGATTTTGCTTCTTCTCGCCGTACTTGTCAGATTGATATTACTTGAATGCTTGCACGGCCCATCCTCACTGGTTGCTAGGACCTCAGCATATTCTCCATTTTTCGGAGTTTTGCTCATTTGGCCACTGTATTTCCTTGGAGACCCAGGGTCAGCTTCGCCAAAGTCTGCCCCGGTTCGTCATCACCACGGACAGTCGCTGCCCTTGAGGATCAGAGGGAGATTTGCCACCATGCGACTAGCTGGACACCAGGACGGTGCTGGACTCTGGTATTGGTTTATTCTTAGCTAGACTTCCTGATGGAAACGCCGGACTCCTTCTCAGCTTGGGATACCCTGCCGGCGAGATGAATCTTCCTAGAATACCTCGCAACCCGACACCTAGGAACACCTCCCACCCACAATGAGGCGGTAAACTGTTGGAAGGCAGATTGAAATCGTTGGCAAACTAATTAGTCCTGATTTCGCCCGGGAACCAGTTATTTATTAAGTACGACAGGCGATGTGCTCACTTCTTCAAGTTTTTTTTTCATCTTTTACTGTGAGCACAGTACAACTTTGTTGATCTGATGCTTATCGCTTTACGGTCATTATTGTTTGTTAGGGGTAATTTTTATTGTTCTCACCACACGACGACAAGAACAAACCCATAGAAAGCCATTGGAAATGATCACATATTTCACTTTTAAAATTGATTTATTCATAGCACTTATCATAATTTACTTCTACTCTATATTGCATAAAATTGTGCAAGTAGATAGGGACAACAGTGATAGAAGTAATGGCACGTCATCCCATACACTGGTACCGTAACAAGGTTGATATATGAAATCCGCTTCTCTCAGCAAGGCAGTGAACAACAGGAGAAGTTATGGAAATAGAACTGAAGGACTACAGAGGGATAATCCATAAAGAAATTATGGGGCTCACTGACTGAAAAAGAACAAAATCGTGCTAACGGTTGTGACACAGACCCGCGATTCGGCTCCTATAGCTCACTGTAATTCTGTGCTCGAGCTAACAACTAGAGATTTTTTAATTGAAACCCAATAAATCACAGAACAATAATTGCTTCGGAAGGAAATTTCCTCTAGAGAAGAATAGAGTGGATTAGAAGGGTCAGCACTGTTGTCCGCCGCTGATTCCGAACAGTGATGGAGAGATGGTGATGTCGGTGGCGATGTACAGGCCATGTTCAATGATTCGCATCGACGGGTTTATGATGTTGATCGGGAGACCGGCCACACTTCCGGTAGGTATGTTGATCTGCACACCTTTTTGTAATGTGTCACTCAGCATCTGTAAATATGCATAGAATGCATTTAAGAAAAAAGGAACCTGGACGAGAAGATGGGATAACGCGTCGGCTTAACGACAAAAACTACTGCTCTTCTTTCCGAAGACCTTTTAAGCACTGTTAGAGCGGGAAACTTCGAGCAAGCAAGTGTTATAGTGGTTGTGAGTTCCTACTAGGGACAAGAAGATACTAATGAATTGGCTTACAACACTAAGAGTTCCAATTTACGAGCCAAAAACCGGAACTGTACAGTTACGTGGTTGCTTAAAATAAATTTTGCTCAATACAATATTTATTGTTAGTTTCTTTTCCATTTGTTCCCACTTCATTCCTGTTGCTAGTGATTTCCTTTCATCTTACGACGTTTTAACAGCATTCTTTGAGGTAAGAATATAGCACAGTAGTTAGAGGTGCCCTGCAATAAATTCAGGGTCAACGGTCCGATCGTGCGGCCTGTGAAGATCAAACTTAACATCGCTTGGGTTCAGTATACTGGCACAAAATTTGTCTATAACTATGCAACGTATTGGATTGTTACATCAGTAGGCCCCTATAGGTAAAATTTAAGTCAACTATGGACTCAACTACTTAAAAGATATTTAGTAGAATCGAGTGGATAGTGCATCCCAACAAAATGGATTAAAGTAGAATTTCCTAGCCGTTATCTCTTTCCTTTGTGATATGAATTGTTCTAAAACTTTGTGCTGCAACTATTGTAAGGAAGACTAACTGAGCACTTAGGCTGAGTTCACTAAATGCACTCTAGATAACATGTAACAAACCGAATTTCCATATTGAAAAGAATAAGAAGATAAAGCTCTCGACGTTGATCAGCCTCGGAGGGTTGCGCCACGAATTCAACGTCTTCACGAATCTTAGAAGTTAAAGGGATAAAAGATAAAGCTTTCGGCGTTAATCAATCCCTTAGGGATGGGCCTTGCATTCGATTTCATTAAACATCGTTAGACATAGTTGAATGCATATCTTGCTTTTACAATGACTCATGGTGGCTTACTGATTCACCGAGTCAGTGCTACTATCCTACCAAACAGGTCTGGTACCAATTTGCCCATCCCAGAGGGATGGAAGGCTTGCTGGGCCTGCAGCGGGGGTTCGAACCAGGGCATGGTATTACAAGGCACCTCTAACCACTGCACTACATGCGCTCTTTCATAGACTTATTTACTCCTATACCATTTACTGCATTACAGAGGTTCTGACGAATGATATCTAGAAGTACACCGTTGAAAAGTCGCTATACTGAAGATGCCGCTATCAGCACGAAAACCCTGAGTGGGAAAAATTAAGTAGTTAATACAGAATGTACGGGCATAGAATGAGATAGCGAACATTCCCTTTTATTTCCGGGTAAAAAGTGGAAACTATTTCCGCAATGTCCTATTCTTCATATCAACCATCTTTGCAGATGTTTGATTCTACATTTATGGTCGTTTGCAAAAATCTGAGTTAGCATTAATTTTAGTATTAATCCCTAAATCGATAATGAATACCTTCTGAACAAGTTCCTTTCCGAGATTTCCGAGATTATCGAGAGCGTCCTGAGGTAGACCCAGTGTTCCGGCCCTGTCCGTCAACTTGAGATTCGTGATCATTGCTGTTCCATAGAATTGATTTCCACGCAGTTGTGCCACAATGACCACGGTTGTCGCGATTGTCATTGTTCCGACCTTTATATAATTGTTTTAAGCCCATAAACCATCATTCATTGGAAACAAGAAAGAACTAAAGGGAACAAATGCAAGCTGCATTGCAGTACGAATTTGTTAAAACATTTTCTAACAGGTGCTTAATTATATAGGATTTTGAAGCAAAGGAATTCTTACAATCATCAAAGTGATTGATTATTAGGCCGTAATTTTTACCCGTACGTTTATCAGTTAGTCCTACTTTCCTCCAGTACTCGTACGTGAGCTACCCTGTCTTGTCCTCATCACCATCGCGAATGGTTCTCGCTGTTAGGTTGGTGTTCCTGGTCTGTTTTGCAACAGCTTCTCTGCAGTGCTTTGATAGTCTGGGAATTCAATTGGTGGCTGAGTGTGGCTCGGGTAGCTTCACGTAGACGCGTCAGCTTGGAGGTTTTTAAGAAGCAGAAGGCTCTTAATAACATTGGAACGCTTAGTATCCCCAGTAATGTCATTAAGGTGTAGCAATAGCCTATAGTATTCTTTTCCGATGAACCTATGGGCCCTTAATAGAAACGGGTCAAAAAAGTGAGCAGATTGATAGAACTAGCTGAGAGACAGGCAAAACGAAAGACCCGGATGGTGTGGTGGTGAAGTGCGCTGCTTCCCGGTAAGGACAACAGGGCGTGTTCGTTCCCCACCGCATACACCTGCGGTCCGGAGTTTTGCAAATATCTCAGCATTTCGTACGAGTTATATTTCGCAACATACCCTGCCATTAAAAAGAAAAAGGCAGTAAATAAAAGAGTTAAGATTGACATTAGTGTTAGTAGTAATGCTAATGCTAATTTTAATATCAATGTTAGTACTAATACTAATGTAATAATGTAATGTAGTACTAATATGTCGTAATATGTAATGTAGTACTGTACTACTAGAAAAAGCACTAAAATAGACACAGAATAAACTTGAAAGCACTTCCAAATGCTCACAGCATTATAACTCCAATGATGCTGAGATAATTGCAAAACTCCGGACCGCATGTGTCTGCGGCGAGGAACGAACACCCTATTATCCTTTCCGAAGACTAACGCGTTCCCTGTCATGTTTACAGCCCATCGAGTCGTTGAGTTATAGGAAAATTATTGTTTACTCTCCAAAAACAATAAACCTGCAGTGGATGAAAATGAGAGATCGTCCATTGTGGCGAAGAAGCGAAATCAGGGTCATTGCCATAGTGTTGAAGCCTCTCGAAGCTCATACAGACTGAGTCGACCTGATTTTTGTCAGACCTTAATGTTGGAACGTGGGCGAAGAAAATTGTTGACGCTGAGGCGGATCCATAAACCATAAGCTCGTGAAGACAAAGAGAGAATGCCGTCGACTCATCTGTATGCCTCGGGAAACAGCTCTGCTCCGCTGTCATGAACAGCATTTAGTGGTCAGCGTATTCACATCCTTGCTAATGCGATAACGTCGCGCTTAACTGTCCTAACCCGTCGTACAATCCTCAGTGGAAAATTTAAATATACGTACGTTGTGGGGACAGATCGTCACCGCAGTAGCTTCAGAGTTAGGCAGCGTATGATGGTCCTGAAATTAAAGCAGCTTTTCCGTAATCGTCATGAACAACGTTGCTGTGCGGAGCACTGTGTCGATGTCAGATGAATGAGATCTCTTATCCTTAGTGCTTCCAACCATAACTGCTCACGAGATGATCGCCGAAGTATTCTGTAATAATCAACATATTCACTGCAGAGACTGGAATTTCATATTCTGAGTCCATTTGGTCAACCTGAGTCCGGCAAATACGAACACATTGTTAGTGCGAGTTCAACACCCATCGGGCCACCAGTGGACAGATCACACAACGCGGCTGACAGGCTGGAGATTCATTAAATAGTAAAGGTTATGGCATTGCTTATCTGCGTTTAAGGGTTTGATAATCCCACTTTTAGGTGACTGTGATGATATCATCGTATAATGAGAAGGGTCTCCCTCTGTGAAGTGCTATTCAATGTTTTGATAGAAAAAAATATAGCCAGCCATTTATGTTTTCAAACGAGAAACACGATTTTGTAAAGATAAGCAAGAAGATGTTCAGTAAGGATGTTAAGAAGATGAAAAATACCCTGTTGGTGTTAAGGATGTAAAGGTCAGCATCAGCAACCAGATCCAGGATCACAGTACCTGAAAATTGCAAGGACATGGTACAAGAAGGTAATTTAGGAGCGATTGTTGTTTGGCAAAATGGATTTGAAAGTGCAAGTGAACTTGGATGCTCTTCAATTAACTGACTACGCATGCAACAATATTCGTTCTGGTTTTGATGGAAAGGGATAAAGTCACAAATGGTGCTGGATTCGTCAGCGACAGCTTTAACTCGAACATTGCTAAACAAAAGCAGGATCTTTCTCTAGAAACACTGTTTTACCATACGCTTCGTCATGTAGTTCTGGTTCCACAAGTAGTAGACAGAGGACACATAAATCTAGAAAGTTCTCGAAACTTGCTGTGGACGATTACTTAAGCAATTTTCTCGCTGTAAAGACTGAGGATAACCAGCTGTGGTCGTCCACCACATTCAGTCAACATAGAAATTCGTTAAGGAGACATTATTCACATAAAATTTAACCACAGAGAGGTTGAATTTGACGACCGTAGTAAATCCAGTGGAGTTCCTTGGCAAAATTTAAGTTCTTTGCCGAATTCTATCACATTTAGTTAGTTTCCATTTACTGCTAAAACCTTAGGATGATTGATAACTAGAGTTAAGGAACAACACAGAGAATGCGGGTAGCACTTTGGTAGTGATACCGATCATCACGAGCACGATGCTGGTTCGACTCCGCTCTGGGCTCACAAAGCCTCTTATTCCTCTGAGATTGGGAAATTGATACCGGTCGTGTCTGGGAAAAGTTTACTCTCTGCAATTCAAATGGAAACACTCTAGCCCGGTTATCGCAGAACTCCAAGAAGAAGCGACTCGACCAGCATTAAACGGCGTTCGTAAGGAAGATTAAAACCTCTATCAGCAACCGAAGCCACACGTGAAAAGTTGGCAAACTATCGTGATTGATTGATGTGAGGAAAAAAATAGAATGTGGGAGGTGCTGAGATCCTCACGGTAGATGTGATAGACAGATAATTTAAAAGGTAAGAGGAACAACTTGAGAAGAAACCCAAATTTACAACATATTTACTAAATATTTTGAAACCCACTGAAATTAGAAGCTATGTGAACGTTTATGCTCCTCAGCTGACTTATACTACTTTAAGAAAGAAAAACCCAGAAAAAATCCTAACCACACACGATTTCATAAGACAGACAAGACCACACAACATTACGACCTCATTTGAGTTCATTTTTTCATCTTGTTGGAAATGCATGACTCACCTCCTTGAGCTTGACTGAGAATCACCGAAGGTGCTCGAACCGTACGTATCACAATGGAAATCCTCTGATTGGGATACTTCTCGCGAACGGCTGGTAGAATATCACCAAAACAGATTCCAAGGTCAGCCAGACCACCTGCATCATCTTGTCGTTTGCCTCTTTCTTTCGTAGATCGTCTGGTTCTCAACTTTTTTAACTTCCGCAATGCATTCTTCAAGCGACGCGACTCCTCGTTTTCGTCGAGCTTAACAACATCAGCTTAATACCTTAGCTGCTGACCTAATGAAATGTTTTTCTGAACGAAGTACTCGACAGATAGTAATTTAACTCACCAGGTTCATTGTAAAGTCTAGCTATCAATTTTAGGAAAACAGAGACTTATATAAATACAACTGACTCTCCAAGTGAGGTGCTAGAATATCATCATTTTAATATGGGGTTCTAGAGGACGTTCTGAGCAATTGCCATGGTAAGTACAAGTCTTTCTGGATGACTTGACTTTGTCAAAAAGATTTGCGGTTGATCTCCATTGCACGACACGAGGAAATAGGAGCAACCAAGATTTAGGTACTCAAACATCTTCAAATACGGTGGATTTTGGAACGAAAAAGCGTGTTATTTGTTAAGAAAATAAAAATAACCTATAAATTGTTATTAATGCTTGAAATGGGGATACTAGGCGCGGTCGTCTATCCAGGGATGGAACTTGGATTGGAACTCACGAGAAACAACCAGTCTGGATTAAATTTGAGGATATCTATTTGACTACGCGTTCCATGTAAAGAATTAGCAATCTTCTGTTAACCTGATGTGGATTTCGTAATTCTAAACTTCTAACGAGAATTTATTTCACCTCTACTTCTGTGCCTTCCAATCCCTCATCCTCGTCTTCGCTACAAGTTGTCTTCAGTAGTTCACCAATTTTCGGGGTATCAGGTCCAATTTGGAATGTCAGGAATTGTTTTCTGCAAAAAGTTGTGACAATACGAAATTATTGGACAAACATTAATCTTTCTTCTTAGACATATTACATGGTGATTATTTAATCATTTTCTTTCTTCATTTAAAGAAATCCTAAGATATTCAGGTTTCTTTACATTTTAAGTCTTTTTGATCTTTCGATGGAAGACAGATTTCAGCTCTGTAGAAAGGATAAATCCTTTATGTTGATTGGAAAATAACATATCTGATGTATTATAACGAAACCTCTCAACGGTTTACCGCCTCATCGTGGTTAGGAGGTGTTCCTGGGTGTCGGCCTGCGATGTGCACCAGGGGGATTCAGGGGGATTCATTCCGCTGGCAGGGTCTCCCAAGCTGAGGAGTCCGGCGTTTCCATCAGAAAGCCTAGCTATGCTATCAAAGTCGTATGGTGGAAAATCTTTTCTCTGATCCACAAGAGCTGCGACTGCCTATGGCGGTGATGACCTGGGTCAGACTTTGGCCAGGCTGAACTCGGTGTTCCAGTGAACCACAATGGCTTAACCAGCAAATCTCCATAAAATGGAGATTATGGTGCGGTCCGCACAACCAGTTGAGATGGACCTTCTAAGTATCCAAGTAAGTAAGGTAGAACAAATATACAAACATATAATATACAAAACCTCTCCTATACATTTGGAAAGTTCTGAAGTCCATAACTAATCTAGTGTTCGAGAAATTTTCACCAGTTATAGAAAAAGTCAACATCAGGCGATACATCTCAAAGTTAACAATGACATCGAGATTTAAATGAAAATTGCAGACCTATGTAGTTGGTAGAACAATGTGTTGATGGTGTAGTCGCTAACAATGAGCTCTATCATGTGGTTGTCGTACGCAGAAGGAAATGAGACAGGGAACGCACCGAATGGTGTACCTGAAAGGAAATTCCAAAACAGCTGTCATCGTTCGGCCTAGTAAGGGTCTGCTTCTACAGAAACCGATCACACAAATATTTCAATCCAGTCTCCTCCCACAAATAACGTATTCCTACAGTTGACTGCTTCTTATGTTTTTCCACACATTCCTGTCGCAGCCACGCAAAGGATTTCCTTGTTAATGAAGTTTTCGAGATAAATCACTCAACAAATTTCCCACCTCCCTGCCCGTTCTCACTGAATTCGCCGCTGAGATTGACGGTGAAGTCGTTCGATGTGGCTTGAGTGCTCAATATTTGTACACTTAGATAGAGATTGCTCAGCAAGCGCTTAATAGAGAAGTTTTTTGAGATAACAATAATGTTGTTGAAAAATGATGGCACATTTTCTGTCTCCTGTTATTTGCTCACTTAAAGAACCATCGGACTTTCAACTCTTTTAGATGTTTTTTAATTGAAACCTCTTCGATATCTTTAGTTATTAAACCTTGATAGCACTCTGTACCATCATAAACTATCTTCAGTCTAACATTGCAGGTTTTCACCGACCAGGTCGAGACCAGCGGCCAGCTGTCTCAGGAACGCCGATGGGTCGTCCGCACCACCACTGCCCGGACATCTCGCGCACAAGGCCGAAGGCGGGGGGACAAACCGCGGCAGCGGAGCACCAGGCACCTGCAAAAACTGATTGTTCTCTAAACGAGATGAATAGGTTCCAATCTGCAGCAGCTTCATGATTTACGTAATCATCAGTTGTAAATCTTTCAGCAGTTTCGTAATCACATTGTAGTGTCTTCTGCATTATATCTTCCACTCCCAACTATATTTTGAACTACAATGGTGCTGAGATATTTGCAAAACTCCGGACCGAAGGTGTCTGCGATAGAAAACGATCGCGCTATTACCTATTCCGGGTACTAACGCTCTAACCACCACACCATGCGGGTTCTCCGTTTCGCATATACCTCTCAGCATAATGAAGTCGAATGCATAGCGCATTCCTCAGGGATTGGTCAACGCCGAGAGCTCTATCCTTTCATCCTTTTATCTGATCACCGCCTTCTCCTTTCGAAGACTCGATTTAGCCAGTTGGAAAAGACTCCTGTCATCGTCGAAGAAATATGAAATAAGTCGTGTCTGACGAGGATGTTTTCAGGAATATCCTCCTCATTTAACTAGCAGATTAGAGAAGATCCGACCGAGGTCTACAATCTGCTTGTCGAAGGAAGTAAAACGTGTACGGAACTCGCCACAGTTCCTCAAACAAATGCTCGAAAAGAGGAAGAAACGGAAGCTTGATCATACTGCAACAGGCCTAACACGGCTTATAATAAATGCCGGCTGTAGAAGATTTTTGCACGAAGAATTACATAGGTATATGTGCCAAAAGGTTTTGGAAACAGCTCAGAAGCAATCTACGCTGACGTAATTCCATCAGGATATGTGCGACTAAGATGTTCCCTAGACCCTCGGGATTCTACTCTCCTAGTTTCCAATTGCGATAGAAAGCATGAACACAAACACAGCTGTAGGACTCAATAATACCACCGCCGACTCCATTCGAGGTGAAGGCCACGAATTCCACGTACTTTTCGCAACCCACATGATATTCTACCTTCAGAAGGAGAAAGTCCCAGACCAGTGGAGAACATCGTGCATGGTCATCCTACTTAAGAAGAGTGACCAAAGGAATCTTTGTAGCTACCTTCCAATATGATTGTTAGGAGTATTCTACAAGCTGATCACGAAGTTCTTCCTTTTGCGCATATCGAAGACCTTGGATGAGACACAAGCGGTTGAGCAAGCAGGGTTCCGACAGGGACTCTGCTGCACGGACCACATCCAAACGCTATCACGGGTCATAGAGGTCTGTCAGGAGTACCACAGGCCTCTTGTCCTAACCTTTGTTGGTTGCCCACTATGAGAAAGTGGTCCATGAAAAAGGTGTACTTGACAGCTTCGAAACTAATGCAATCCTATCAGCGCTCGTCGATGAAGGAATGCACTCGTCTTATACACAAACGCAAGCTGACTGTTATCGGAACTGCAGCACAAATATACACCTTTTTCATCGACCCATCACCATATCCATAGGAAAAGGTGTTCGAAAAGGCGACAGTATCGTCAAAGCTGTTCATTGCTGCATCGCCGTGAATAGATAATAAAGTTACTCGATAGGGAAGAGAATGGCATGCGCACTGATCGAAAATTCCTATCCAATCTTCGTTCTGCGGATGATATAGTGATCTTTTCAGAAACAACCGGCGAAGCAGAGACGATGAACAATTGAACGAAGCGTGAAAAAATATTGGACAGGGCATAAGTATGAGAAAGACCCATTTCATGAAAAACTCATGCTACGAAGGTAAAAATCGAACTGGATAGTTCTCTAATTACAGAAACCACCGTGTACGGGTACCTTCAGCAAGCATGGAGAAAAACATGAAGGAGGAACTAGACAGAGGAAGGAGAGCATCACCGGCCCCATTCGGGCTACTCAAATAAGCAAACGATCAACTAACAGACCCAAAACTTCGCCCTCACCTTTTCCATTCAACGGTGCTTCTAACGCACTACTATGCAGCAGAAACGTGGGCTAACACCTCAACGATGTCAAAAAGTCTGCGCACCACCCAAAGAAAGCTTGAACGATATACTCTGAAATTTAACCGGCACTCACAACGTCAAGCCAGAGTGCGTTGCTCAGATCTTCAGAATCTACCCTATCTTCGGTATACAGGAAAACATAGATCAACAGTGAAACACAGATGGGCCAGTCACATGACGAGAAGAACATATGACAGAGGATTACAGATGGACGAAAACAACAGTGGAGTGGACTCCAACAGAATACAAGCGTCTTCTTGGAAGACCACCAAAACGATGGGCTGATGTGCTCATGGCTAATGTCAATCGTTTATATTCGCAGATTGAAACGATTTTACTAATGAAGACGGCCCAACCAAGCATACAATTAATTCCATATATATATATATATATATATATATATATACGCGCATAAGGGCGCATATAGTTCAGTGATTAGAGGCATCCTTCAATGCAACTGGGATCGATCCAACACCCAGGGCTCACCAAACCTTTCTTCCCTCCGCGGTCGACAAATCAGAACAAGACTTGTCTAGTAGGATAGCAAAACTCAGTCGATACATCGATAGGCCACTACGAATACAGGCCACATACGCATTCAGTCACCTCTAACGATTAATAGTGGAATGCATAGCAGATCCCTCAGAAATTGGTCGACTCCGAAAGCTTTATGCTTTACATATATATTTGCATATATATATACATATATATAGAAAGCATAAAACTCTTGGCGTTGATCAACCCCTGAGAGATGCGCCATGCATTCGACTTCACTTATTATCGTTGGAGGTGATTGAATGCATATCTGGCCTTTACAATGATTTGCGGTAGCCTACCGATGTATCAAGCCAATGCTGCTATCCCCTAGACAAGTCTGGCACCAATTTGCCTACCCCGGAGGGATGGAGGGTTTGGTGGCTCATGGGCGCGGAGATCGATTCCACGCGTGTGTCGCATTGGCGCCTCCAACCACTGAGCCACATGTGCCCCTTACAAAAATAAATACAAATTGTGATTAGATGCAGAGTGAAGTCGAATAAACACAGAAAGCAAGACAGATGGTTTCGGTTGCTCAGTCTCTTAGAGATGCGCTATGCATCAGACTCTGCTAAGCATCATCGAGGGGATTGAGTGTTAACTTGGTCTATATAATGAATTGTTTAGTAGAAGTTCTCCCAGACATGTATTACAATTTGCAAACCTTGGAGGGTTGCGAGGAAGTCTACCCAGAGCGCGGGATCGAACCAGATTTAGTGTTTGTGGCAAGGTCTTCTAACTACTGGGCTATGAAAATTTATGGGAAAGTAATATATATAAATATAAATATATATATATATATATATAGCTTCACATCCGTCAAATATATCATCCATTTACGCAATTCTTTTTTCTCAAGTAAATTTTTTTTAATAAGTTTTACACCCCAGTAAATGAAGAATGCAGCTGTTGTGAGTTTTTTTTACAAACAAAGCTTACCGCAGGCGGAGGTCTCATTGGACCGGAACCAGGAGGGAATCGAACCGCCGTTGTTGGGGGATATCGTCCAGGATACTGGATATGTGGACCCTGAGGAAAAGCGCCAGCTCTGCTTGTTCTGAACGCCGCTGCTGCTCTGTATGGTGAAGTAGCGAGATTCGTAATCCGATAGGCACGAGGTGCATCTCTTTTCGTTCTACCGGCTGGTACGATGAGCTGGAAACAAAAAGGTCATAATTTGTAACTTGCAAAGGAAGAAGTGGATTGTGGAGAATTTTTTTCTTCGGACCTCAATTCTCGCGTTAAGCCTTGAAATTATGTTGAAACAAAGCATAGTTCAAACATTGGTGAGAACTAACCAACTTTCTGTAGATTTCAATCTCTACAGACGAGGTACAAAGAAAGAAAAGAGCAAACATTGACTATGAAGCAATCTACTACATGTAGCTGTGGAAGGATGGATTGTTCCTTCGTAGCGACGATGATTTAGATTAAGTTCAGCACCAATGCTGATACTTCATTTAAATTTATTTTATAAATTTTTAAATTTTAAATACACTTCATTTAAAGTTCGACGATGTCGATAAATGTTTTCAATGTTGCTCCTCCTCCTTGTTAACCTCCTCTTCTTTACTGACAATTGAAATCTTGAATACATCCCAACTAAAAAATTGTGCTTGCCAATAAGACTTATTTACTTGATACTTGAATAGCCCGTCCTCTCCGGTTGTGCGAGCTCCAGCGTATTCTCCATTCCTCAAAGTTTTGGTGGCTTAGCCGTTGTGTTTCCCTGGAGTGCTGAGGTTAGCCAAGTCACGTGTCTGCCCCAGGTCGTCACCACCACAGGCAGTCTCCACCACTATGGATCAGTGGGAGATTTGCCACCATGCGACTAGTTTGATACCAGGACAGTGCTGGATTCTGGTATTGGTTACTCTTAGCTAGGCTTCCTGATGGAAGCGCCGCACTCCTTCTCAGCTTAGGAGACCCTGTGAAGGGAATGAATCTCACCGCTGTACATCGTAACCCAACACCCAGAAACACCTCACAGCCACGATGAAGCGGTAAACCATTGGGAGGTTGCCAATAACATATCACTATAAAAGAAATCCCACCTTTGTATGTCCACTTTGTTTCTGATACGGAATTGAACGATATTGACGATATCGATAAGCGACAGGTGGATGATTCTTAGTGGACTTTTTCGACGTTCTTACCTAAGAAACTTCGTATTTTCAAGAGGAAGGAAATAGCATTAGAACATTAGCCGAAGCGACTGTGTTTCTCATACTCGACGAATGCATTCTGCTGAGTAGATTACTAGTCGTTTACCTGATTAGTACTGTAGGATTTCTGCTGAGTTCCGTGAGCTACTCGACGGCCGCCATAAGCCGTTTGCGGGATTTGCGGTGCCAAACCTGCAGTGATGGAACGAGGGGCCGGCTGCGCCGCCGCCGACAGCGATGCCGCGGGTAGTCGTGGAGAGCCAGGCGGTGCAGCGCCTCGACATTGAGTTTGACACTGAAAAATTGGGCGGAAACAGTTATGACATCTAAAAAGTGAGGTAAGAAACATGTGTAAGGAGATGATCTAGCAGTTTACCTATTCAGCCACAGTAATGATTTAATTGTTAGGGAAGGTAACACAGGTTT